AGACTAAAAAAAGTAGTGGGAAGTGTAAATGGGTTGATGATGAAGGAGAAATGTTGTAGCCTGTATAAATGTAGAGAGATATTTAAATATTGTTACGTCAATAATTTGTACTGAACACGTTTCCGACGACAGGGGGAATAAACAAAGCGTTCGCACGAGAGTTTAGGGCGCTGTGTAAAACTATACCTTAACTCACCCTAGACAGAGTTTGCAACTGCTTGTTCTGAAGAATTAGCTTCAACAATGCTTAGAATTTCACCGCGGTATGGGTTATTCAAGTGGGTAATATAGACAACGTGATGGAGCACATTGCATGTGGATATTGAATTTATTGTTTTATATTCATACATATACAGTCGTGGTTAATTAATCAGAAACACGTTGCAAGATGAGTAAATGTCCGGTCATGACCTTATACATAAATCTCAAACCCTATTGATATCTCGACTCGCATTGTTCACAGTACTTACGAAGTTCCGCACGCTTTAACAATTCTGCATCTGCATCTGCTTCTATTGTTTCAGTTTCCGTAAAAATTTACTTTTGATATCCGTTTCTGTTTCCGTTACGTCACTTCCGTTGCATTGCTAGTAGTATTGATATTGGTACCAATAACCTGGAACTTTCCTGGTAAATATACTGCAAGTCCAGTAAATAATATTTTGTATTGTATTGTTATTGTATTCTATCTGTTTCTTTGTGAAACTTAGATACATTTTTGCCGAATTCCGTATTCTTATCGCCATCTGAAGGAACCTAATTGACCTTGTTCTCGTCAAAGAATAACACACGGTGCCACTTTTTTATGTCAAATCTACATTCCTATGTTGTTGTTTTTGCAGAGGTGCTTTCCGGGCAATTATATGTTTTATTTACTTGCCATTCTAGTCTTAATACAAATATTAAACAGTTAGTAATATCAATGTTATGAAAACATAATAAATAATAAAATATTTACAAGTATTTTTCAATCATCTCAGCACCGTCTCCAGCTGTATTATGTTTATACCTGCAATATTTACACTATGGAATATAATGTTTTACAACCATGATATTCATGTATTATTTGTGAAAATGCTCCACTTGTTTGTTATTATTATTAATACAAACATCGAACGGCACAAAGAAAACTTCCTACGATCTGACTGGACTCAAGATTTATACACACACATACATACACATCTTTAAAGGACTCAGTCCAGTCAGAATCGAACGATGTTTTATTTTTATATTAATAACAATTATGTACCATTTTGTTGCACCGTGTATATCAAATTCCAGAAAATTATATTTTCACAGGATTACGTATACAATACGGCCAACGAGCCCGTTATGTCACGCGTCATGAGCGTGAAAATAAAATGGAACTATTCAACTTAACACTTCCGACTTGCGACAATCGTAGCGTGACATTAGAATCACACTGCCAAAAATATTCGACAAACAGGAACGAAATTTTGTTTACCAAATACACAGAAATAGTGACACAAAAGTAACAACCTTATTCATAGGTCCCGTAGGGAAAAAAATCTTTACAATAGAGGGTCTATTCTCGTTCTCCGTCCGACATTCGTCCGAAACAATTAGTGTCAAATAAGTTATAATCGACTAAATTAAAAAAACAATGTCAAGTACGAAGCTTCATTCTCATTATGCCGCGTTTAATTTGGTCGAGTATTACTTATTTAACAGTAATTGTTTCGGACAGATGTCGGACGCAGAACGAGAGTACAGGGCCAGGAGTGGAGACAAAAGTATTCACAAATCCTAATAGTTCCACCCATCTTATGCAGTGGAGAAAAAATACTAAAAAAAACCTACAGAATTCACTTGTGGAACCAACACTCCGAAGAGGGTTTTCACTGAAAAAAATAATGAAAATAAACAAGCAACTAGTTTTCATGCGTGGAATGAGCTGGGCAATGATTGCAGCATAAATTTTAAATAATTAATTTAATCATGTCGTACCTTATTTAGTGTTGGGTCATGGAAAAATTTCCATTTTGAAAAAATCATATTTTTCAAAAATTTAAATATTTTTCCTTTATTTTTCCGCTTTTAACGTTGACACCTGTCAAAACTTGAAGTTACCTAAAGAAAACCATGGAGCCATTAAAATGGATTTTTTTTCGCTGTTATCAAATCATTTCAAAACTCTATTTTCTCTATGTGGTTTTTAAAGTCAAAGTCAAAGTCAAAGTCAAAGTATAATTCCTTATTTCTTTCTTTTTTTTCCATTCTTTATGTATAATTTACGCTAAATAAAACGTCAAAACATATTTCTAAACGTCTACGTTTATAAACGTTGACATAATATGAGCCTTCCAAACATTGACTTACAAATAAATGGACGACGGGTCTAATACAAAAACCACGAAAAAATGTCCCAAGTCAACCTATTCGAAATTTAAATTGTTATGTCATCGCAGTATCGCGCTGTCCGTAGAACAAATGAAGACTAAAGCGGAGTGTCGCGCTCTGTATACGATTTTAGCGCCTTACAAGTGCGGACACTTTTTAGCGCGGACCCGACGTCCATATAATTGTAATTCAATGCTTCCAAATTATATTTTTCCAATTTTTCGGGCTTTTGTCACTCACGTGAGACCTTGTCATCGAGTAAATAAGTTATATACTCAATGGACCTTGTACTAAGTACAACAGTAAACACTACATTAACAATATTTCAAACCACGCCATAGTACAAACTACACAACGAAACATTACTATTTCATACAAACATAAGTCGAGAGTTCAACTGTTTCCTTTATTAAATGGTTATTGTTATCACACAAATTGAATCCTTATTTCAGTAGTGAATGGTCGTGAACAATATATTTATACAATTTGGATTCAGTACGTTGTTATAATTATTAATACAAAGATCGAATACTAAGAAACAATTCCTTCGATCTTATTGGATTCGAACAAGCGTCTTCAAACATACCGTGCCAGTTAAAAAGTTATCAATTAATTTCGTTCGTTCTCTCCTGAATAGGTGTTGCCTTATTACAAAGGGCGCAATGTTAGGGTTGATTCCTTTAAGATCCATTTCACAAGCTTGCTTCTTGCTTTAGAACTTAAAGCACGCGCTCAGCTCGCTTCACTGAAATTACATATTTTCTAAATTTGTGCTCGTTTGTGTATATAATTCTATTAGTAAAGTATTATAAAATAATATTCGAAATAATATTATTCATTACTTTTCACGTACCTTTACTTCTCTGCTATTATATTATATTCTGTTTTAATTTTACGTATTTCGGGTTCAAGTCCCGAATCACCAGATATGGATAACGAATCTACTCCTACATATCTATATTTTTTCAGTGTAAAATGATGACTTTAATCGTTTTTTAATACAGTTTAACGTTGAAATATTACCCCTATTTATACCCCTTGATAATATTATCAAGTCGGGCCTTAATATCTCTGGCGCCGGTTCTCATTGCATGTAATATCTAGGGTTCAGTGGTATGGGTGGATAATTTCGAATTACGTCACCGGGTGCTATGTGTTCTTGCTACCCTAATGAGCGCAAATTGAATACGTACACGTATAATTTGCTGCGTCCTAATTATGCAACCTCATGAACATGACTACCGCACTCGTTATTGTTCTCATTTAATGCTCTACATACTTGGATGCGTAATAGCCATTTCCAAAGTACCCACCGTTTTATTACCACTTAACTTTAGTGTGTGAAAACGTGAAATACGTATAACAGCAGTTGCTTATTTGATTAAACTTTTGTACTACAACAGAACAGAACAGAAGTAGCAGAAGAGCTCCTTGTGAAAGAGTTTGTCCAGGGTAGTACTGCCCACCTTACCTATTTCTGCTGCCAAGCAGTAATGTCAACATTACTGTTTCTGGTTTTGAAGGGTAAGGGTGCTGGTGCAATTACAGGCACATGGGACTTGTCAACTTATGTCTCTTAATATTTAAGTTGCATTTCATAATTTTAGTGTTTACCACACTTGGTACTTACGTGCCATCTCATTTTGTAAAAGCGGTTTCAACTGAAAACCAGCGTTACAGCAGAAGAGCTATAACATATGCTGAGTTGGATCCGTTTCTGCTTATAGATATATGTAATCATTAATGTGAATTATCTGTTTTACTTGAATTCTGTTAAGCCGAATAAACGTTTCGTTCTTTTCTTTCTTTCTCAGGGTGACGGGCGGTGAGTGGCAGTGTCCCTCAGATCTCTGTGATTTAAAGCTCTGAATGGCACTGCACCGGTTATGGACAGGCGCGTAGCTTTCCATCAGGCGCACGACTTATTCGTCCCGTCACTAGATATTATAAAAAAAAGTTTTGTAAAATTTTGGTCAATGTGCCTAGAGAATGTGAATATTGTGGAAGATGTTTCGGTACAATTTTCCATTCATCACTAAGAGACATAATGACGTCTAACTTAGCTGCAGAGAAATAGAAATTAGACTGCAACTTTTGCAAAATGGCGTTCAATTAGTCACTGGTCTCTATTTTCTTTGCACCACAATCAATAGTAATTGCAATTGACTATGACGATAGTAACGTTTAACGTAGCTGTCGCTACGCTACGTAGAGATTAGCGTAGCTACAAGGGTAGTAACTACGCTGATTTTGCTCCGCCGTCTATTTTTAAACGTAATCGAATTTCAAATCACGACTCAAGTCTTGCCGGGAAAGTTCACGCGAAAAAAGCTTAAACTGATAATATGATAATCGAAATTTGGTTTCTCGAATACCGTCGCATTATGTTTTCTTCGAACTGGACAAGAACAATGTTCGATTGTGAAGTTTTGAAATTTAGTTAAGGTACATATCGCCTTATCCACAAAGGCTCAACTCAGTCATTTTTGCTCTTCTTTTTTCCACATAGGTATTACTGAAAAAAAAAACTCTGACAGTTATTACACGCAGTTATTACACATTAAGACGCAAGTTATTCTTATTCAGACACTTACCTTTAATATTTTTAGGAATCGAAAATAAGAGTAGTAAATAAAAACTGGGATCCTTTATTTTACGATTCTTACATTGAAATAACAGTTACGTACATAAAGTTCGTCAAGCAAAACATCACTATTTTTCCTTAGAAGGTCTATATAAAACTAGTTATTTACAAGTAGGTATAAAATTCACTACATCCAACTCACGTGTTTGATAAAACTTTTTTAATTACCTGCATAGTCTTTAAACTTTCAATTTAATCACTAAAACTTTAGTCTAACACTGATTTGAGATGAGAAAATTGCAAGACGGGACGATTTTATTCTCCAGATCATCGCATTAACCTGAAAGGAAATAAATTGTTTTTCAAATCAACTTTACCAACCCTGATTGCCCCGTAGCATTATGGGCATAGTATAATAAGACCAGTAGTGCAACTCTCGTGTATTCAGATAGTCAATACCCATACTTCCCTTGGAGCGCAGGGTTGTCACATTATTATTTTAGTTGTACCTAAGGTTTAAAACATAATTTGAACCTTTTTTAAATTCAATACTTCGTATTGATATTTTCATACCAGAATCGCATATGTGAATAAGATTATAAAATAGAAATGAAATGCTGAGCAATTCTTAATTTGAAGCACTCTTGTGTAAACAATCATAAACACAACAATAAACCTTTGTATTATCTGATGTCATTTTTTAAACACCGAGCGAACGATTCAATTCCATAACGAATAGCAGGTGCGACAGCCCACGCTGAGCAATTCGAGTGCACCGCGAAAATATGCAAATGGATGTGTTCGTACACGGAGCACGGTGCGAGTGTACACATGCAAGAATCGTAGTTACGGTTAGAGTTACATTACTTGTGTTATTATACTATGATATGGACGCTTCATCTGAAGGCCCCGGGGATAAAAGTATTTTTTCTAAATTGGGTCTGGTCTGTCTAATGTCTCGAGATAATTAACTAACAGTGAGAGTATAGAGGTCCTTGTGCAAGAGTACGTCTAAGGAAGTACTGTCACCTTACCTATTTCAGCCGCCAAACAATAATGTGAGCATTACTGCATTTCGTTTCGAAGGGTGAGGATGCTGGTAAATTTACATGCCCATGCGACTTGTCAACTTATGTGTCTGAGTGGCAATACAACTGTTATGGACAGGCATGTCACTTACCATCGGGTGCACGACTTGTTCATCCCGTCACTTAGTATGATATTTAAAAAAAATACTCCTAGTCTGGTACTCATTGTATAGGGAATTTCGAGATCAAATGATTAGTGTGTTTGTCTGACAAAATTATCATCGTCAGTTTGATAGCTACGCAAGAACGCCTACGCCTTGTAAAACTATGGCGTGACCACAAAATTTGCTATCTGATAAGATATATATAATTTTAACAACTTCTAAACTTCAAACGAAGACGAAACCATTCGCAGTGGCGACGCGTGAAAATTGTCGTTGGTAAAGCCGGAGAAAAAAACAAAACACTTCCCTTAAGAAAAACTGGCGCCACAACTTAATGGCACACAAGGTACTAGTATACTTCATTTCACAGGTTAACTTATTCTACACATAAAATTTAGCACAAAATGTAGTATTTGATAATACGTGGAAAATTTAGTTATATTGACGCCTCGCCACTGCATCTTAGGAACTTTCCTGTTGTGCTAAATTATATTATTCAATAGATGACAAAGTCCCTGTAACTATTCGTTGAACTACATGACTTACCAATGCCTATACAATAGACAATTGAGCAGGGCAAAGGCACCAGCATGTGACGTGGAATGACGAAGACCTGCAAATACAAGAGTAACATAAATACTTACAAGTTTAATAAAGGTCCTTGTTATTCTTAATCCTAATTACCTTCGTAAAACCTATAGAGGGCGTCTCATGGCTATGGGACATGGAGGGAAATTATTTAAATATTGTAAATAGGATATTTTGCTTCGTAGATATATATTTTTTAAAAAAGGTCCTATATAGCATTCAGACTTGTATAAAATTTGCTTGTCTCATCTGAGAATCAAACCAACTAAATAAGAAACAAAAAATCCTGTATTTTTATAATGCCAATTGAAGGCGTAAGAATTGTAACTACAAGACTAATTTCCTTACAAGTTAAATAGTATCTTAATTTTTAGTAGCAGTAGAGCTCCTTGTGAAGAAGTTGGTCCAGTGAAGTACCGCCTTACCTATTTCTGTCGCCAATCGAGAGTAAGGGTGCTAGTGAAATTACAACAGTGACGGTCGTTGTGGCAGTGACCCTCAGATCTTTGCTATTTCCAGCTCTGAGGAACACTGGGGCTATCGATCGATGACTTAAAATGTCCTATTTTAACAATTTCTTTAGTTTGATTCCCTGATGAGGCAAGCAACTTTCAAAAGCCTTTGAATATAGTATTACGTACTTTTAAAAATGAGATAATCTCTCCGTGAAGCAAAACATCCTGTTTACAATATTTAAAGCACCTTCTCTCCATATATCTTTCGTAGACTAGTTGTAATTTGTAATATCTTATTATTCCTTACACTTATTGTATTGGTATTCTTGACCTGGGCTTTCTTTAGATCGTCCTTAATTTACTCATTGGAAGTTCATCCTTGTCGAAACTTTACCGCCCACAGTTGCTTTGTGAAAATGTACCCTACGTTTATTGATTTACTGTGTATTTGTATCGAATGTGCTCATATATTTTAAACGCTCTCAGGTAGCGATAAAATCTATTACAAAAAATGAATATTCAGCGTATTAAAGAAATGCTAAAATAGGTAAATACGAGAAAATTATCATATAATCTTCCCCCGACTCGTTATCAAATCCTTGTCATCATTGTCATCGATTATGTAAAATCCATTCGTCTCACGAGCCAAATCGGCTTTATCATCCTTATGAAAACATCTTTAAGGATTTGCGCTTTCTCGGCAATTACCATCAGAGGCTTTTTTCTAAACGTTAGAGCTAGATATTAAACATCCTCTTTTTAACCTCCTACACAAATAGAATGGTGTCATAAGTTTTACTCTGCATAACTAGTAGACGTTTACAGTTTTACAAGTCAATTTCTGAACGGTAAAGGTGCTGGCGAAAATATTATTTTACAATACTAGAATAATTTGACGATTAATTAATAATTAATTGATATTTAATTAATTTTCAATTGATTAACTATTGATAAATAAATTGAATTATTTTTAAAGTCTTTTAATTTAATCATTGTAAAGTTAAATCATTTGATTTTCTGAATATATTTGCATAGATTTATTTATTTTTATTGTAATGATATTATAATTAGTAATGTATATATGTTAAAATTGACATTCCTGCGCCCTTACAGGGTACATGTTTAATGCTTCACCAAGTACTACAAAAGCTAAATGTAACATGTTTCGTAATAAACGATATTATTATTATTAAAATACAGGTACATGGAATTTGTCAACTTTATGTATCAAGGTGAGGGGCTCGGTGGCAGTGCCTCTCAGGTTTTTACGATGTAAAGATCTGAGTGGCGCTGCAACAGTTAGAACGGTTACACACCGTGATTGTTAGCAGCGATGCAATCGCGATGCAGTAGCGATGCAATCGCCTACCTTTATACACGCGCGCGATTTTAAACAGCGATGCAAACGCGGTGCAAGCGCGCGACTGTATCGATACAAACGCGCGATTGCATTGCTACACTTGCGATTGCATCGATGCAAACGCGCGACAGCATCAATACAACGAACGCGCGTTCGCATCGCTGCCAAAAGTCGCCTTGTGTAGTCACTCTTATGCGCGTGTCGCTTACAAGCATACGCACCAGTCATTTTATAATATACAAATTATTATAAACAAAATGATAGCATGGCTGTAATCAGATATTACAGGAGCAGAAATGGAAATATAAAGAATTATAAAAACATACAGGAAATATACAAAGGTTGACAAGTTACTTTTTCACTCTGAAATAATTACTTGTGAAAGAATCTTCATCTTGTCAGCAGCAGAAACTAGTTTATGTGGATATAACTCCTAGAAATTTCACAGTATGGCTATAGTCAAATTTGTCTTATAAGCCTTTAACATGTTTTCGAAATTAAAATCACAGACTTGCCCCACACAAAGTTACCAATCCCAGAAATTAAGACACATTTTGCTATAGAGTTACCTGAATTGGAATTCCGGCTGCCCATGACAGAGGCGATCTGCGGCCTCTCTTCATCGAGAAGGACGATGCCGCTGGCCGACCATACGGAGAACATGCTCGCCACACACGTCAGGTTTATACGACCCTGTACCACGATAAAATGTATCTTCATCGCGCTTGTTGCAACATAATCAGCTCTTCCATAACAAAATGCGTACATAAATAGATTAATAAAGAAATAAATAAATAACGCACACACGCATAGCACCGCACTAGGGAAACCCTATGACGCAGGTGCCATGGACATAAACATAGAATACCACAAATTACAGCCAAAGTCACGAGAGAAATAAATTTAGGCCATACAAATATTTCCCCTGGCCCGACATTCGGACCTGGAACCTCTGCGTGGCAGACCAGCATTGTAACCGTGCGGCCACAGAGGTAGTTTATTTGAGATTTATTGAAATGACATGTTATCACCCTTCAGTTCATATATGTGGGGATGGCGATATAAACAACGCGAATTTAATGACTTTTTTCTTTATTTTAACAATTATGAACAAGAGTACCGTAAGTGAAAATCAAAGAAAAAAAAGACAACTTGACAGGTAATTCATAGTCAAACATATTTTTTTAATTTATAAATCCAACACAAAGCACTGTTAAGACCAATTTTTTGGATTCGAAATATATATTTTTTCGTCTAAATCTAAAAAAACTTGGTATGCCATCAAAAATCCTAAAAATCAAATGGCAATAGAAGTTCGCCAGGGCCGCGTCGGTCATGTTATATGCCTAAATACACAGCGTATATCAACTGCGGCGTGAACGAGCATCGCAAAGTTAGATGTGTCGTGCCGGTCATTTTGACCCACCAAGGAGACGAACGTGTTAAAAACGCAATAAGGCGAGTGGTGTTGACGTCACGTCCCGTCATGAGCACAGAATGACGTCTCACGCTTCGAACCTCGGAATGTGGTACCAAAAAAATTTTAATATATTTGCAATTATGTAAGAAAACGAATTGTTAAGTTTTATTCAGGGTTTCTATTACGAAAGTTTTGAAATTACTACCAATGTCAGGAAAACTTTTACTACTATCTAGTAGCCTATTACCACCCTGTATAAGACATTTATTAATCCCTAAACCGCATTAAATCAATATTGAAAATATGATCGGATAAAGAATCTTAAGTCCGTCGAAATATTTATTGCTTTCTATACATAATTTGAAACGAAAATTTTGACGGTTAGTCTGTAGAAAATTCATACTCATGTTATCAAGTGCAACTGATTTCACCTGTGATATTTCAATCCATAAAGCTTTAACATTGCGAATTGCGCGCTTTAAAAACACGAAAAACCTATTTCTTTCTTATGTCGTTAAAATAATGTTGATATTCAAGTGATTTACATATAATGAATTACTAGAGCTCCACTCTATGGTCATGAAATTCACATTTCGTGTTATGTGTGATGTACAGTGGGGCTTTACGCAAACAGTAAAATCACTTTTCATATCCAGAACACAAAGACGCCTACATGAACTTGTCAATTCAAGAATGTCAATTCAAGAAATTAAAGAGAGTTGTATAAAACATAATTATACAAATTATGAATATTAGACGACATCATATACGTTGCTCTGATCTCAGTTTATAACTAAAGCACTTGTGTTATGGAAATCGGAAACAACGACGTACTACAAACACCCAGACCCGATACAATGCAGAAAAGTTAATTTCTACATTAACCCAGCCGGGGATCGAACCTCAGAGATGGCGACAAACTGTGTGCACGCCATTCGACTACGGAAGTCGTCAAAATTCACTATAACCAAAATATCGCACGAGTTTCAAGTGATAAAAGCTCTATTGACGTATAATCACATGTGACTTTATAACACTATGAGTTCTTAGTACCGTTAACGTGAGTTGGTAATAATTATAAGGTTCGATACTTACTTTGTGGAAGTGTACAGGCTCAACAGTCATGTGTAATTGTGAGAAGGAGGCCGATTTATTAGGTCTCTCTTCCTCATTGGTAGTCTTCAATTTATTCGCCATTTGTTCGGTGGCGGGTGCAAGCGAGCTCTCGTTCTTATTTTTCCGTTTTCCATCGTTCTCGGTCAGAGCATCGATATTGCCCGGAATGTCTATAACACTGTCAGTTACCGGTTCCTCGTACCCAGAAATTGCATCCCATGGGCTGAATATAATCCTATTTACATCTTCGAGTGACGCGTCGGTTAACACAGACTTTCTGGGCGGCGTGTAAGATACCCCGCGCATGAATATATCTCGTCCTTTTGGCTGCGAATGTAAAAATATTTTTCATTATTATTGACACAAAGACTGAACAATACGAAGAAAAATTTCTTCAATTTGATTTCACTCGAACCAGTGTCTGTTGCCACGTCGCACACTAAGGCCCGTCCATAAAAGGTAATGCTCAAAACTCACAAGAAAACTCACAGTACTACAAATTATTAATCGTGTATCAGATACCGATAAACTTATGAAATAATAAAAATGTTAGGAGACTCAACATGCCTTGCTTGGTCACTAACATAATGCATTTAAATCGAGTTTAATATCAAACGTAGGCAATAAATACAATATTTAGCGTAAAGAGCAAAACTTATGCACCTCACAACTGACAGTAGTTAGCGAGTCAGTATTTTTACGCGTGTGATATGTTATTACGATTTCGCAAATATATATATAACTATATACATAATTTTATAATATACATAATTTTTAAAATACTCATCTTTTGGAAATTGAGTTTTGAGCATTACCTTGTATGGACGGGCCCCAATCGGGGCCACAGCTATTACCAACTGAGCTACAGACCCACTCATCAGATCTTACGAATTTCTTTACGTGCTTGTTCCAGATCTTTGTATTAGGTTTAGAACGGTTTTTGGCGTCAGTTTCGCCTGTGAGAAACTTATTTTTATTTATTTATTTATCCAGGTAACACACAGTCATTATACAAACAATTATCTAAGAACAGTGTTATAAATAGACCTATATCTTGATGTACCATACATTGAAACATATAACATATATTGTGCAAAGATGTGACGGATACAAAATATTTACATTATCCTACCAAAATGTTAACATTACAGACCCAAAAAGTCCCATGATTGTCAGTTCTATATCTATTTTCTTAAATGTAGGTATCTAAGGAATTTGCAAGCATATCAACATCATAATAGATATGTTGAGTTCTTAGGCTTTCGCGATTGTTATACATATGAAATGAAACTATTTTTCTGGATTTAAATCGCGTATATTTGTTTTTTCAAACAAACATGTCACGGTTGACCGTGTCCAACTTGTCATAAAAATTAGTTACAAGATGGCTCTCCTGTCCTTTATAAACGTGAGAAGATACGAGGTACGTTAAACGTGATTTCCTCTAAAAATGCATAATCAATGTTATTGTGGACGAGCTCGTATAAACACATACTATCTAGATAAATTAGTGTCTGAATAACAGAAAAAGTTAATTCCTGTTGATCAGCACTTGGGCAACATGGCGCATGCATAGCGAGTCATATATTGCCGCCACAGTCATCAAGATGGAGTTGAGACTGGTCCACTGGCAGTCTTTTTGCGCATTAAAGCATAAGGTCATCAATCCGATAACTTCCTTTTTTAGCATTAGAATAAAAAATCAAAGAGGTTTTTTATCGAGCACGCCATATCATGGAAATGTAAACTCTTCCGATAACTGCCAAAAATATTTCTTTTTTATTTCACGGAAACTCACGTCAATGTATACGACACGACAAAATGTGTAATTTTGCATTTATTTATTTAAATTTCTAATATTGAGACATTTAGTAATTTATTTATAATATTTGTAATTCATATGAATGTTGCACAATAAAAGATGCAGAGGAGCACAGGTAGTAAACAAATGGAACGTTTTCAACGTATACGACTAAATTAACGTGGTCGTGTTCCACGAAAAGAGGTATTTCATATTTTTGTTGTAAAAAGATGTAAAAGATTTTTTAACAAACAAACTAGTGCAGTATTTTCACAAAAAGTATATGAATTAAGTTTATGGAATGTCAGAATGAAAATATTTTTTGTTAAATTACTCCACTAGTTTGTTTTGTTTATTCGTACAAAGATCGAATACCATACGCTACGGAAGAATCCAGCAGACTTTCTATGTGCTTGTTACAGTTCGTTGTTTCGGTTTTTAACGGCTTTTTTTGCCGTAGACCTGTGAGAAATCTATTTCTTTACTCAGCCGGATCGAAGGAATTTTTCCTAAGTGTTCGATCTTTGTATTAATAATTATAAGAATATGAATATTCAATATAATATAAAACATCATGATATTCAGTTTCAGTTAGTAGCAGTAGAGCGCCTTGTGAAGGATTTCGTCCAGGGAAGTACTGCCACCTTAACTATTTCTGCCGCCAAGCAGTAATGTGAGCAATACAGCATTCCGATTTGGAAGTGGAAGGGTGCTGGTGAAATTACAGGCACATGGGACTTGTCAACTTATGTGTCAAGATGACTGGCGCAGTGGAAGTGCCCTAAAGATCTTTACGATTTAAAGCTCTGAGTGGCACTGCAATTGTTATGAACAGGTGTGTCGCGGTAACCCATCATGAACTCGAATTTCTTTTATCCGAATTTCATTAGTCCGAAAACGGTTCGACTTTTTTTCGTTAAATTTTCAACAAGGAAATCTCTTACAGCAGAAGTATCGTTTGTCTGAAAACCTATTGTTAGAATAATTATTACACATACGCATTCTTTGGGCAGAAGTTTGTTTGGTCTAATCATGTTTGTTATACTGTCTGTTTTCCATATAATTTAGATTGCTGAAAATTCGTTTCAACAAAATTACTATTCTTAGATAAAATTGTACCACCATACAAATTTACCATACTCCTCCAAAATTCTGGACTGTACTTTGCTGGTGCACAGCAAGTCCATTTACATTTACGTAATTTTCGTCATACCATTGTGCTATATTTTTGTTGTCATCTAAAATGTAATTTAAAAGCAATGGTCTTGAGTATTCAATAAATAACTTATATCTGAATCGAGTAGAGTACCAGAGCCTGTTTTTTGTGTGTTTGCATTACTTAGACGGTACGGCCCCCTCCAGTAGGTTTAGGTTAGGTTAGTATATGAAAATACCGCACGAGCCGAGAGACAATAGCGAGCGTGCCGCGGCAGCGGCCGGCGAGTGCCAGAGCCGAATTTGTTTGCATTACCTAGACGGTACGACCCCCTTCTGTAGGTTTAGATTAGATTAGTGTATGAAAAAGCAGCACGATCCGATCGAGCTAAGCGAGTGACTACAACTCGATCAAATTAACTTGCATCTCGTTTGCCATATTTTCTAAAGTGCGAGATGCTTTAATTTGACGAGTTGTATTGTGCGACACGTTCTAATACTTTTAGTACCTGTAATAAGAAATAATATAAGAAAAATGTATCATGGATATCGTTTTTTTATAAAACAAAAATATTCAATTAGATACATTGGTCAAACGGTTTGTTACGGAAATAAAAATCGGGAAAAGAATAACTTGTTAATATGTCAAAATAGGGAAACATTAAATGGTGCAATGAAAAAAACCGTGCCATGTTTTCGGACAAATGAAACAAAATCTATTCAACAAAAGTCTAAAGGTTTTCGGAGAAACAAAATTCTATAAATCATGTTTCTAGCTTGTGATAGGTAACCGTGTGTCGCTTGCCACCAGGCGCACGACCTGTTCGTCTCATCACTTGGCATTATTAAAAAAATTAATAAATATTTGTTACATATTATCCTTTTCTGACGAGACAGAAATAATACAGTAAAGATGAAGATATTATAATTCAACACTAACCTTTTGTCCGTTGATCAGCCACGTAAGGTTGAGGGGCGGGTCAGAAGCTGGGGTGGTGCAGTTAGCCTCTAGTCGATCGCCCGGCGAATACCAACTTTTTGCAGTCTGTACCGTCGGCCCAGCCGGCGGCAGATCTATGACAGAATAATTTATATGTTATATTAAGGAGCAAATAACAAGATTCTAAGTGGACTTATATTAACTTGCGATACTGACTAAACATCTTTATTAACTTCCTAATTACGTTCTCAGTGTTCTTGCATTCTTATTAGGGGCTTAAATTTCCTATCTCCCAACTTTCCAATTATGGGCATTTATAATTTTATTTTTTATATCCATTTCAATCCAAAACACAACGGTGGTAACACTACGACACACAGTGTATGCCCACAAATAAAATCAAGTGATCCCGGCAACGATAAGCATTCTTTAATTAACTTGAAAGTACCTAATGTGTAACACGTCACATAAATCATCCAAACCCTGTGATTTACGCCCTTTGACGCCACAGGCTAATCAAATTGCCACACCGACGGAAAGTCTAACATGGTTTGCACAGCGAGCCGGACGTGTAAACAAAGCTACGGAGGCACCAATCTAAAGGAAAACAACCTAGGCAATAAATTGCGGCGTTTCAGAGCGCGACGAACGTCCACGTTGCATATTCATCTTTCATACGCGCTCGTCCCAATTTGCCCGAAATTCGAACAAACCGGTTAAAACGCCGAACATGCGAAATGGCGTACCGAACTAAAACGTGGCATGCTTTGTTTGCCAGCAGCGCCCTCTACTACTTCGAGGCGGTGAAACTCGATGCCGAGCAAAGTTTTAAGTGTTTACATTTCTGTTCTGTCGCTTTTTGCCAATTCTACTTAATGGGTACGCAGGCAGTTCTCCAACACCTCGTTTAATTTGGCCGTCTGGGTGTATTTTAGTATTTATTCAAATTGGCAAGTCTCTGCCAAAAACTTGTCTTATTAGTAAAAGTTGTTTTGTTTTCAACCATCGCTTCTACATCAGTGAAAACACTGTGCGCATATTTCTTGGCTTGGCGTGTACAGTATTGCGATATTAAGGCAATAAGTGCCAGATTTTACAAAACCTTGTACCCGTAGTTGAACAATTATACATACAAACTTTGGCTAAGGGAACCGTACCTAGATTTCATCTAAAATTCCGAGGTCGTGACCACGCAATATGCCTGACAGGGTGTTCAGAGTATTGCTCCCAACTTAATTATTAACGATCACTTAAGACGGTGGCACGTGTATTTGACAAATGGGAAATTATACCAGTCACCTAGTAGCCCCCGTGATTTAGTGGATGTCCCACTCGAGAGTGAGCCTGCCGCTCTTCAAAAATCGCTGTACACATAAGTATTTATACACTACCTATTTTATTGCACAATAGACCCGGAAAAGAGAAAAAATAAAATTAGATTAGTAAAGTTGTACGGTATTACACCTATATAGCTTTTGCATTTTAATGTATGGTCTTAAATCTCCGTTTCAATTAAGCTGGTTCTTTCAATCCGGAAGCAGTGTTGCTTTGCGATAGAACGACATGGCGGTGATACTAGACCAGGATCTAAATAATGACTCATACAACCATTCAAGTAATTTTTTAAATTGAAACTAACTAAATTTAAACCTATTTAAAATCGTAGTCAAATGTCATTTAATGCATTTTGTTAAAATTACTACTACATTGCCAAAAGGTCGTGGTTTGACCTACCGCCTTTCAAGCGGAGGTCTCGTGAGTTTTCCGAAATTTATATGCGAAATTTTATTTGAAATTTACCATAACTTTTTTTCGGTAAAGGTAAATATCGTGATGGAACCTTCACGGCGAAGACGGTTCGCAACCCGCATTGAACCAGAGTGGCGGCCTAAACCCCCGCCTTAGAGGAGATCCGTACACAGACGTCACACTGTATAAAATGGATCGATGATGATGTATACGAAAATATATAAATTCGAGATCTCTTAAGGCGAGGTGTCGCGAGCCGTTTTAGGAGATGAGGCGTGGGGGACCGACTCTCGCGTCCCGCAATCCGCGCGCTTAAAATAAGAACAGGCGGAAAAAAATTTATACAGATCAGACGTTGACAAGCGCTGAATGTCGCCTGACGGGGTAGCGGGCGGCGAGACGCGTCGTTAAATTGCGGGGAAATTTTCAAGTTTTGTGATAAATGTGAATTTAATAACTATAGGGATTTAGATGAAAACCAAAATTTAGTAGGTTCTCTGTAGTACTTAAAGAGAAATATCTAAATATAAAAATGATATGTAAAGTGGGATATTTTATTTTTAAATAATTCGTTTTAGAGTTTTATTTTAGCTTGCTTTCGGAATTTTATATGATCGGATATAGTACATCCTATCATGTAACGAATTAGCACATTCTTTAAACAATCTGTCTATAAGTGTCTTTTATATTTTTTGTCAGACCGTTATTTAACAGTAAATACTTAAACCATTACAACAAAACACTTTTTCCCGTTTGTACAAAGGAGTAGTCCTTTTCACTCGCCTTAAGTACAATCTCAGGTCATAAACTAATATTAGGAAAGTCCCTTGGAAGATTGTATTCATCAACGAGGTAGCTACGACGTTGCTGTATACTATAACCGTAAATTAACTGAGATAAACCTTAATCAAACATCCCTTGTGTTCGATTCCGTTTATTGCATAACAATAGTTCTGATTTACGATTTAGGATTGCGAGGGCGCGTCGGGATTATTCAACGTTGGTATTATTTTATACGTTGATTGCTTGTTATTAACTGTGAAAGACTGATTAAATAGACTATTAAAACGTAAATTTCCCTCATTGTGTTTTATTTTTAATTATATTTAGAAACTAACCAAACAGGGGCTTAGTTGCTCAACAATTGACGCTTCTAAAAGCGCTCACTGTAACTTTCAAGTCTTATACTGTAGTAGTATAAGGCTTGAAAGTTACAGTGAGCGCTGTAGTAGTAGAGAGTAGCTGTAGAGCTACTCTTGAAGTTTCTTACGTATACTTTTAAGTATCTAAATTAGAGGATATACAGTTTATTAGTAGATATCGTGGTAAAACAATTTTCTTAAAAAGGAATCTTTTACCCTTACGGACAAGATTGGAACACGGTTGGCTAATAGCAAAAATCTATTTTTTTTAAACAACTTGCTACTACTATTTTATTACATTAAATGCAGAATACGTCTATAATAGGTAGACTTGGTACACATATAACCACAATGCTAATGTAAAGTTACACTGTTATCTAAAAAAGAAGTATAATACTGTTGATGTACCTTATTTATAAAATAAATAAATAAACAACGGAACCGCTGCCGCTGATGCCAATTAATACGTTTATTATTTGTAGTTTGGTTACCATAGAAACATATCTAATAACTCATACATAACTTAAATAAAAACGTATATATTTTCTCTCTCTTTAATGAGATCTCTCTCTAATGTTATTGTAATATCGATCGTCAAACACTACAATTTACGACAACGCGACGTACATGTTCAGTACCAACCTGTGTCTCTTATAAACAAGCAAGTTGCTATTTCTTTTATAACAACATGGTTTGCCTCCTTGGAATTGGTGATTGCCAGTTCGGGAGCATGAAAAACTCAGTGGAATATAATCTGTATGCAATAGTAATTTTTAGTCCTGGTTTTTATTTTATTTTAATAACACGTAAGAAGAAGAAGGCAATAAAATAATTTTGCAATGCAAACGCACCTCTGTAAACCCTCCCGAGTTGTTTATAAGTCTATCTCGTAGGTATTAACAGTGGCTTCGCCATTGCGCCGAAAATGTACTTAACAGCTTATCCATAATGAAACCGGAACTATTGCTCTAGACAACTCGCGAAATGCAAATCCAATTTCCTCTCGGATTTAGTTGGCTAATCTGATTGATCAAACTTTGGTTACCTTGTTTAAATTGTCATCCAATTTATACCTGCGATTTATGTAGGTTATATCTTTTAGTACATTATAGCTATTCGTTATATACTCTTATACAATCGGTATCAAAACTGTTGTTAAATTTACCGATACGAACTACAGTTATATGTTTTCGCGATTGCTTCACATTGGAGACGAAAGTATTTTTTTCCGGATTATCTTTTCCACTAAGTTCAACTACAAGTTCAATCAGTTGAACTAATCGGACACAAATATTCCAATTAGTTCAACTAGGTACAACTTTTCAAAAAGTTGAAGTTATTGGACGAAATTCATCCTGTTAGTTCAACTTTCCAATTATTTCAAGAATATATATATATATATACGAATAATACATCTCGGTAAACCGTGACCTAAGAATCTGTAACAAGCCCGAAACTTTGAAAGAAACACGTTTTACGCAACATTAAATTCGTTTTTTTATCATATCAAGCGACACGCCTATCCATGAGAGTTGCAGTGCCGCTTAGAGCTTTAAATAGCAAAGAATGGTTCCACGTGCCTGCAGTAATGCTCTCATTGCTGCTTGACGGCAGAAATAAATAAGGTAGCAGTACTTCCCTGGACGAAGAACTTTTTCACAATGACCGCTACTGCTACTAAATGGTTTCATTTCCGATGTCGAGGTAAGTTAATAAGGATTGGTTAACACAAGAAAACGACGCGTGTTTTTCAGCCGGACAAGGTATAGTAATAAGAAACAAAAAAATGAACACAGCATTTTTTATGGGGTTCAAAACATTTTAATCGTCAATAAAAAAGAAATTTAATAGAAAATCGCCTTCGAGTGGGTTTATTAGAGAAACTAAATGATTAAGTAAGAAGAAAAACTTGTATCGTTTAGGCTAAGAGCTGTACCACACGGGCGTTGCCAGTTCGTTGCGTCGTCAAACGCTATGCTTTATTGCACTGAGTTGCTTGTCGCTCTGATTTATATGTACAACGCAGCGCCACGATGCAACGTCATCGCCGCCGATGCAACGCGTCGTGTGGCATCATTCTATACTAGACATCCGAACGAATAATAATGTGCGAGACAATCGCCACATCCCAACTACGCCAATTTCTTGTAGTATGAGTTCCAAAGCAACGGAATTCATTCCGGGACACTACTCAGAACACCAAGAGCAGTAACAAATTTAGTTAAGTTTATTTGCCAAATTGGTCCTAGCTGTAATCGAACTCAGGAACTCCTCATTCAGTGCCCACAGTACAAGCCATTGGGTCACCGAGGTCTTTTAAAAAGAAGATGTACAAATTGATGGTAAAATTTGAAAATCGAATTGAAATTCGTTTATAAATAAAAGTTACAGATATTTAGAAAGCAGAACCAAAAACGGTGGGAAACTTGATTGTGACGTCACACCTTTGACGGAGCCATACAAGCTATATACTAATGAACGTTTCGCTAAACAGTGACGGAATATCACCGCTGACTTTAACTATTAATATCTCTGAATTGAAATATCGAAAAACGAATTCGAGATTCATGTTCAGCACGTTTGTGTCATTCGATTGAAGCAATACATTTTTTTTAGTCAAATATCGTGTTATGTAATAGATAACATAATATGAAAATTAAATACTTTACATCATCATGAACCCATTATGGGAGTCTCCACAATCTTTAGCGTCCTGTTCAGAAAAAGATCACACAGTTTTCACATGTTTTCCAAGAGTTTATAGTATTTCAGCCCCCTGAGGAAGATTTCTCAGTCCCAGAGACCCGTGAAATTTAACATCTCCTTACAGGATGCAGGAGTTTACAAGCTTGACTGCAAATACGTTCTCTCAGTATTAGACAAACAAAGCGAAGTATTTGTACCCGCGTCGAAGAACATAAATAGCTGATGTCAAACACCGTGTAAATAAACCAGTATGCGAGCATGTCATGTATAAACATAGACAGTCTATTAATGACAAACCGCAGGTCCTTGGAAAAGAAGTCCGTTACCTACCCAGGATGCTGACAGTGGACATTGAAATTTTAAAAAATCCTAATTTCAAAAGGGAAGATAGTTTCTCTGAATATTTCCCTGATGAAAAATCCCAAGCAGACATAAGACTGCTGTACTAAGTAGTATGTTTTTAATTGCCATTATTAATTACTAATAAAAATAAATTTAATAAAATTTTATATTATTATAATGTCAGTACAAAGTACTAAAAAAACCGACTACAAAAGTCATTCAACCCCTAGTATGCCACCCTTAGAGGTGGAATATTTTCTTCAAATTTAAATGGGACCACTATTAGGGTGCCCACTTTCAAACAAAAAAGAATCATTAAAATCGGTTCACAAATGCCGCCGGAGTTAAGTTTAGTTACCTTCTCCTTTTTTTAAGTCGGTTAAAAATAAAATTGATTTATAAAACAAGTATACATACTTGGATGTAAATTGGAAAGTATCTTTAAAAAAAATAAAAATAAATAAGTTTTGTAACAATAGTGAAAAATAGCATAACTGGTTGATGACTACCGTCTCAGTCAACCGTGATCATGGGACCTGCAAAGGGCCCGAAACGTTGGTTCGTTTGAAAAAACAAATATACGCGATTTGAATCCGGAAAAAACAGTTTCATTTCCTATATTAAATGTAAAATATTTACAAAGAGCAACCCCTAGAGTTTCTTGCTCATTCTTCTCTGGGGAAATTGCATTACGAATGAGCAGTAACGTTTAAGTATAATTTGCTTACCTATGAAATAAACATTAGACTAATAAATGTCATTCAATGGTCGATGTGATTAATTTTTTTTCGTTCTCGTAGTGTTTCTGCCAGAATGTCATTTCGTCAAAGTTTCTTCTAATATACAAGCCAAGTCTCGACAGCCCTTATTATTAATTAATTCATATACTTGGGAAAAGTTTTAATTGGTTTTCTTCTTATTGTATTCCTAGCTACTTACGTACTTTATAATTGCTGAGTGATACATTCTGTATTATTATTATTAATGGAATTTTTGTATTGCTATGTACATATAAAGGGTATTTTTTTCTTATAAAACGCGCGATTTAAAACACAACATTTTATAAAATAATTAACATTATATTATTATTAATACAAAGATAGAACACTCAGAAAAATTCCTTCAAACCGATGTACCGTGTCAGACGCTATACCAACTAAGTCACGGAACGAACGGTTATTATAATTATAACAAACTAGTGGAGTCATTTCACATAAAAATTAATTGAATATCAATTCAATAAAAAATTAAATACAATGAATAGCGACATCTCTAGCCAGGGCTGGTAGCTGTAAAGATATCTAACTGGGTGATGAAATACTTAAGATTTCTCATAGATGGCGCTACAGCTAAAAGGTCGTTGAAAAACCAAATACAAAGACACGACAACAAACACATAGAAATATATTCGTGGGATCCGCTGGTTCGTTCCGTGGTACAGCGTCTGCCACGGTATGCTAGAAGACGTCGGTTCCAATCCGGCCGGTTCGAAGGAATTATTTCTGAATGTTCGATTTTTGTATTTAATAATTATAAGAAACTAGTGGAGTAATTTCACATAAAAAATAATTGAGTATCAATTCAATAAAAAATTAAATGATTGACGTTGTTAATACACATTTCTTATATTTGTAGGTGAGTGATAAAGAACCTTAAGTCGCATCACCGTAAGAGAAGCATGAAAACCTGTTTTGCCAGATTAAATTGTTTTTACTATTAAATAACGGTGTTATAAAAAATATCCGACATACCTAATTGTCTTATCCGATCATATAGAAAACCCGAAAACAGGCTACAATAAAAGTCTAAAACAAGTTATTTAAGAATAAAATATCTAACCTGACACATAATTTTTATATGCAGATATTTCTCTTTATGTACTACAGAGAACCTGCAAAATTTTGCTTTTCAACTGAAGCCCTATAGTTATTAAATTAATCAGAATTGATCTCTAAACTTGAAAATTGTCCAGCGGTTTTACAATACGCCGCGTCTCTAGTCGAGCCCTTGTCAACGTCGGATCTGTGTCAAGTTTTCTCCGCATGTTCTCATTTTATTGATATCAATTTTAAGCGCCCGGATTACGGACGCGATACACACCTCACCTCCTAAAACCCAGCCACGCGTCAAAATATCTCCTCCTAAATACCTGCCTTAAGTATAAGTCATTTTAAATTTGTATTAAATTGATATTCAATTATTTTTTGTGAAATTACTCCTCTAGTTTGTTATAATTATTAATACAAAGATCGACTTTTCTAAGTGTATGATCTTTGTATTAATAATTATAAGTAATTTTTACAACAATGCGTTTTAAAGAGAATGAGGCTCTTAATTAGGCATTTAAAATCAATCTTAAGGTCAAATAAAATATGTTAAATGAAAAACAACAAGATTTAAGTAATATTATGTATTTTACCATTGCGTGATTTTTAGCATTCAAAAGCAATGGTTTGTAAACAACATTTAAATTTCAAAATATGGACATAAGATCCTTGACCTCTCACATACAGACATATTTCTTTTCATCACGAGTTCATTTTAAAGTATATTTAAGAAAATCTGTAATTAGTCTTTATATAGATATATAGTTCGTATATTTTAATTGTGATAGACTGTATATTTAATAAATCAAATCAAAATTATTTCATGAATAACTTTGTTTTAGATTTAATTAACACTTCAATACGTAATAATGATATGGCAAGTGTATAAATAACACACAAACACGTTTTGAAATTAATTATTTCGTGAAATTGCTTATTTTATGATGAACGGTTTAATTTGATATTCTCATAAATGAAAAATGTCGTTTTTGCTGTAAATTTAAGAAAAAAAAACTTTTTTCTCGCAAAATATTACATTACTGATGCTAATTTTAAAAACAATATTTATATGTATATATATATATATGAAATATAATATATGAAATTTGAAATATATAATATATATATGAAATTATTACGTATAATATATGAAAAACGCCCAGAATTGGTGAACTGTCAAGGTGTCGTGTTTCACCATGATACTTAATTCCAAATCACACACTTTAAGAAGCCAACAAAAACTATTGCAGTTAGGTTCTCAATCAAATCTCCTCTTTGGCTGCGGAGCTGTAAGCCACGCTTACTTCTGACGCCGAGGTGTCTCTCCAGTTCGAAAACCTACGCGACTGGAGGGACCGGAGAAGGTTTAGCTCATCCTCTACTAACTCTTCGGGCTAGTACCGGAGATGTCGGTCGCAGTGTCCTGTGACAATGCCCGGAGATAGTTTCTAACTTAAAGGGCAACTCACGTGCTCCGCGAGGCCCTCATTTAAACAGCTACTAAGACGCGCTAGCTGTGCGCGGTATGAACGCCCCGGCCACATGCTACCGGGACAGATGAACGTGTTCATCCCTGCAGCTAACCACAAACCAGACACGCCTGTGAAAGCGTATCACTGGCGAAGGGCTTGGCCCGGACGCCCGTACGTCGTCCTGATCTTCTCAATCAGGTCCTGACCCCAGATCAGCCCGTTTACACGGACTTCATCCGGTTCTCAAAAATCTAGTGCCTAAGGTCAGCTGCGCCGGATGCATACTTTCCAGATAGGTATCGGAGCTCACTTCCCGTTGCGCTCTGCACAACTAACGGTTGCTACCCCAATGAATGAACAACTCATGGATGCCGCCAAGCAATGAAACCATTATTGCGTCCCGATTTTGAAGGGTAAAGATACTGGTAAAATTACAAGTCTTGTCAACTTTATGTCTCAGGGTGGCGGGCGCAGTGGCAGTATTCCTTTGCTATCTATATGATTTAAAGCTCTGAGTGGCATTGCAACTGGTCTTCTGACTTGTTCGTCCCATCGCTTGATATCATATTCATATTAATATTTTTTATTTGCAAGTTACATGGTTATATAACGGGTGTTCTTATGTTAATGGTACTTGACATGTAACACCCCATAGGGGCACTACAATATAAAAAAAAGATTAAAGTTTCTTGATGTCTATTCGATGTTTTTCTTTTTAGTAATAAATGAGTAACAAGAGACGCTAAGATGTTTCACTAACTAATCATGTACTTACCAACAACACGCATGTAAGCGCTTTTGAAGACCGTGTGGAAGTAGGGTGCGTCGGCAGAGACCTCACAACGGTAGCGCCCGCTAAGTCCGCGCGTCTCCACGCGGAGGACCACTTGGTGGGCCCCCGAACGTGACACCTGGGTCAAAAAGGGAAAGTGTCAATTATAAAATTCAGGAAAGGTACGTGACAAAATGATTTCCTTTACTTTCTCACAATTCGTGAAGACAAAGTAAATGCGCGAATGTCTAAAGTCGATTTTCTTTCATAAATTTTCAACCCTAACACAGAAATATTTGTGAACTTTTTTACTACAGCAGCTAAAGTACACTGTATAGCGTGTGATGCTAGAACTGCTGGTGATAAACGCAGCATTTCAGGTTCATTGACTGTTCCCGCTTCCGAGCATTCAAACGATTACCATTAATACGACTATTAATCACAAAGACCGTAACACCATCAAACTACACCATCAAATTCGTAAATAAAATATTCTTTATTACACCAAATAAATACAACAGAAATATTAATTGAACAGAAGGTGAGCCAAAGTGAACTTATCTCTAAAAGAGATCTTTTCCAGCCAACCCATGGCTATGAGAGCAAATGTCATAAGCGGGCAACAGCGTATATATATATATATATATATATATATATATATATATAACAATAGAGGGAGAGATATTGTAAACTGGTAGATAATTAAAAAAAATACCGTGACCTGATTACATAAGGATTATATATATAGATAAATTATATAGATTATATTATAGATAAATAAACATAAAAATATTACAATTTACGTTAATAAAATAAATAATATGAAGAAATAACACTAGTTACAGCACGAATATAAAGTTTGCATTTTAACAGCACTAAAGGTAAGTTCACCTGTGGTGTCTTTTTATATTGTTAATATTTCTTTCGTTACTTGGTGCAATAAACAAATTATCTCTTACTTCAAATATCAAAGGGAAAATATTAATATCAGATCGAAGAACGGAATACAGATTTTCGTCTAATATACGTAACGGGTCAACTGACAATAACCTTAAACAAATAGTAAAAATTATTTTATCGGACCGTAATCTAGAAACAACACGAAAAGCCGTTCAGAAAATAACGCTGTTCTGCACGAGTAATCCGCATAACGATAACCATTTGCCGTATATTTATAGCAAAATATCATGAACACGGGCTTCGGGTGGACAGTGGGATTTCTGATAAAAGATATTGAAGGAAAGGGGATATAAAATTATATTAAATATAACATTTTTGCTATGTTTACTTACATAACCAATGAGTAAATACTTGACATGAATTGATTAATATTTTAGTAGCAATAGAGGCCCTTGTGAAAGAGTTCGTCCAGTCAAGTACTCTCACCTACCTATTTCTGCCGCCAAGCAACAGTATGAGCATTACTACATTCTGGTTTTGATGGGTGAGGGAGCTGGTAAAATTACAGAAACATGGTACTTGTCAACTTATGTCTGAGGGTGACAGGCGCAGTAGTAATTCCCCTACTAAAGTGGAGTGCCACTCAGACTTTAAAACGCGATCTTTCATTTTACTAATCGCCTATCTATGACAGTTGCTGTGGCAACTGTCATGGATAGGCGAATAGTAAAATGAAAGAAAATATATATGAAATTTAAATAAAAATATTACAATTTAAGTTCGTTTTATTGATATACTGTTATTTACACATAATAATTTATAAGTATTTCACGTGCGTATGTAGTTGTGTATATACTTCCAATTATGTCGATTTTATTGTCTGTTTATTTATTTATTATTGTCAGTGGCTCACTCGCCACGGGCTTCCTGAAAATCACCGCGCGAAATGGTTTAAAAAAAACCGTTTGTGGCTAAAGCTGTGCAAGTTCCGATTGTACTGCATAATTAATAACGCACACACTCAAAATAGCCCCGCGCTAAGGAAACCCCGTGTCGCGGGTGCCATAGACACACACAGAGACAACCACAAATTACATCCAAACTCATGAGAGAAATAAATGTAGGCCATTCAAATATTTCTCCCGGCCCGAGAATCGAACCTGGGACCTCTGCGTGGCAGTCTGGCATGGTAACCGTTCAGCCACTGAGGCAGTCCATGTATGTCATATATATATAACAATTGTTTTAGTTTATTATTATTATTATTGTTCCTCTGTTGTTTTGTTTATATGCGTATCTGTGCTTGTGTAATAAACAGTTTTCTTTCTTTTTTTCTATAATAACATGCACCGTATCTAGTCATGCATCATTTTGTTATCAAGTTAACCGTAATCGTATAACAAGTAGCAATAAGTTTTTGACCGTACGGAACTAGTGAAGAATCAAATTGAGCAAAAAGCATCGATCCGTCTTACGGAGTCGGTCCACTTCGAACTACCGCCGAACTAAATCATGCCCGTCTCGCTCTCCAAAGACGCCTGACCCGATTTTCAAGGATCGAGCAGCACCACATTCGAGAGCGTTTTGACTTACACTCTACGCGATGCAAACCGGAGCATTCGTTACTCCGTGAAAGGGTTTTTAATGTATTATTTTGGCACAATGTTATAGCGCGAGTGGCGTCGTGCCAACGCCTAAAGGTTTAACGTGCCCGCCGACGAGATTCTTAAGTGATTTTTTGCCGAGTACAAGCAGAAGGCGGTTTAACGAACTACTGCTCGTAGCAAGATGTCGCAAAGTCGTTGACCCATATATGATTACAGTTATGACGTTGTTTATCGCTACGACGTTAGTGAGCCGTTTGCGTAAGAATCTCTTTTTATTTTCACGTTCACGTTCGCGAACAAAATGAATACGGTAAAAGTTTTGTTATTGGGGATAATATGCTTAATTAGCATATTATCCCCTATATATATATTATAGCTATTAAGTCACTTACTTTAGATCAATAATAGAGAATAATATCGGAATTATAACTTCATGAATATAGGTATTTAGGCACTATATTGTGTTACTAATTGAGAGATTTGATTGATACCATTGAACTAATTAGCAGAATTCTATATTTAATAACACTCCAATTGATGAATCTACAATCTATCTTAATAAGATCACACATAATTCTGAATCTTCTAATAACTATAATCTCAAATCTTAAGACTTAAAAATATGCCTATAACAACACCGGTATCGCGTCGACGTCAACTTATGTTGATTATAATGAAACTTAAGTGTAAATACATCACAGTAAGTATATAGCTACGTACCACAATAAAAAGAAACATTCCATTCCATTAAATAAATCAACACCATCCATAACAAAAAAAAAACAACCATCCGTCTTCGATCTTCTATTTTTTCTGTTGATGCGTACTTCCTTTTTTGCTTTCCTTTCTTTCATTGTAAAAAAAAATCAACTTACGTCAACACTGATTCCAGTTTGAGAGAATACGCGCGTATTTGGCATCTCCTTTGGCACGAAGCGGAAGAACTCCTGAGCACCATGGTACCATTTCACGGTGTAGAGCGCCTCGCCTATGTCCAGTGCCCAGCGGCAGCCCAGAGTCGTACTAGTGCCAACGCCCACGGCCTCGGGTACGCTTAGCTGGATGTCTCGCAGACATAGCACACCTGGGGGAAACGTTTTCAAATGAGTGATACTCTAATTCAGCCCTCCTTTGCCTCTGCCATGAGTTTATAGCGCTAGTTAGTTTAATTGCAGTAGAACTCCTTGTGAAAGAAAAAAAAGAGTTCGTCCAGGGAAGTACCTTATGTATTTCTCCCGCCAAGCAGTAAATAAATAAATAAATAAATAACGCACACACTCAACATAGCCCCGCATTAGGGAAACCCTGTGTCGCGGGTGCCATGGATACACACATAGACAACCACAAATTACACTCAAACTCACGAGAGAAATAAATGTAAGCCATACAAACATTTCTCCCGGCCCGGGAATCGAACCTGGGACCTCTGCGTGGCAGTCCGGCATGGTAACCGTTCGGCCACAGAGGCAATTATAATAATATAAAAAATATAGTTATAAAAAGTAATGTCAGCATTACTGTGTTCCGGTTTTGAAGGATAAGGGTGCTGGTGAAATTACAGGCATATGGGACTTTTCAGTGTGACGGATACAGTGGTGCGCCTCAGATCTTTGCGATTTAAAGCACTGAGTGGCACTGCAACTGTTAAGGTCAGGCGTATAGCTTACCGTCAGGTGCACAACTTGTTCGTCCCACCAGTTAATATTATAAAAAATAAGTTATCGCTAGCGACCGCGTAAGATTTTGCATACAAAATGTTGTTACTTCTTGTGACTGCTAAGAGTGCTATATAATTTGCCATACAAAATTGTCAATGGTCACAGTAAAGTCGTGGTAGAGGCACTTGTCATAACTAACATATTTGCATTTCGGAAACTTTCGAGATATTGGCACTTAAAGATTTTTTGCTAGTGAAAAATGTCAATTACCCAGATTTTCCGTAACAATAAAACTGAAACTAAGTAAGATATAGAAAAACCGATTAGAGGGGGTTGTAGATCTCGTTTCGATGATCCCAGATATGTTAATAACTCAATTTCGCTAAAAATGTCGATTAAGTCAGTTATATCATATAGGTACATTGAAATATATGTACAAAGAATGGCTACTGAAATAACAGAAGGACATGCTGTTGATTGAAGGTAAAATAAGGTTCTGCTAGGTTTCGGAAGGGGACAACCACCGGGGTGAGTGGCGAGCCTTAACGGGATCCCACGAACCGGCACCGGTGGGTGAAGGTTCACAGGTTTTTAGTGGTTAGGCCTCTAAGGATCCATTGAGCGAGCGTGTATCGCCGGGTAGGTCAACAGAGGAGAGTCCCAAATAACCCCGCTATGTCTTCGCCCGCGGCATGATATGTGTAACACATTTTCCTGTATAGAAAAAAAAGGTTCTGCTAGGTTAATAATAATATTCAATTCAATTTCATTCTCTACCTGTTCTATTCTATATAATGCAGTAAAATGCTTTTTACACTTTTTGCTGTATGGTCGGTGCGTGTATTCATTTGTAGTTTGGCATAAACATTTGAACTGGAATTTCTGTAGTATACATATAATAGAGGACAATTGCGGTGAGTGAGGTGCTTTCTTAATTATATATTTAATTACAAACTGCATACTGCTGTGTCTACAGCGACGAATATACTGCACTTGTAGTTCTACTTTGTATACAAGGTGAAGCCTGAAAACCAGCAAATTGCTGGGGCCTTTTCTTCAACGCAGCCATTCGTTTTAAGCCACTATTTTAAGTTGTTTTATGTATCGTTGTAGTGTTGAAGAATAGAGTCTTTTCATTTATTTTATTTTTTAACCGACTTCAAAAAAAAGGAGGAGGTTCTCAATTCGACTGTATGTTTTTTTTTTGTATGTATATTACGCAATAACTCCGGTATTTGTGGACCGATTTTCATGATTCTTTTTTTGTTGGAAAGAGGGTACCGACTAAATTTTATTAAATAGATACTATATAATTATTACAAGGAGCAATTATTTTAATGGTTGATTTTGCTATTCTCCAATTTAAGGCGTTTTTCTCTGAATATACTTTAAGTAGTGAAAACCGATTTTTATTACTTCCTGTGTCAAGTCCCGTATAGTGGCAAACTAGGGGATGAATCCGGGTTTGCGAACTTTCCGGTAAACGATTTCAATAAAACTTGGTAATTATATGTAATTCCACGTACTTTTGAGGTCGGTTGTTTGTACTACTCTACTCTGTACTGAGATTATTATTTCTTTATATAAGAAGGGCAGAATTTACTCTATTACGTAGAGTACAATCAAACTTAGTGGTCTCAAAGTGTCGACGATTTATTGCACAAGGAATTTCAAATAAAAAAATGACCAATATTTTCTACTACTTCGTAGGATATTTACATGTACGTGTTTTCTAAAATTCAAATTACGGCGTCATTCTAGTTTTACTAAGCATCGAATATAATTTTTTTAAATCCGGTTTAATTTCACTTCATAATTGGAAATGATAGATCAGTCTCAGGGTGATGGGCGCAGTGGGAGTGGCCCTCAGATATTTGCGATTTAAAGCTCTGAGTGGCACTGCAACTGTTATGGACAGGCGTGTAGCTTACCATCAGGCACACGACTTGTTCTTCCCGTCACTTGATATTTCGTAAAAAAAATCGCCTATGTTTCTTACAGAATTTAGACCGGAAAAAATAGTTTCGTTTCCAATGTGTAGCCATCGCGAATGTTTAAGAACTCAACATTCACTTCATAATACTGGCTCTATATTTATTTATATTAGGTAGACTTTTAAATGATTACTTAGGTACTTAAATATAACCAACTAGCCGGTACTCGCGACTTCGTCTAAGTGGATAGTAAAGTGAATAAGTACTTCGAGTAGCCTACTGTACTATACTAATTTTCACAGTTTTATTGGTCTCCATAAATATTGCATATCCGATTTCACCCATTTATTTTTGAGACAAAAGTAGCCTATGTCCTTCTCGTAGGTCCCAAAATTCATCAAAATTGATTCATCTGTGTAGGCAATATTAGTTTGGATTAAGACTTAGAGCACACGGGTGCAATCGGCGATTTGCGTCGTCGTCGTCGCAAAGCCATGTTATTAGCGCACGCAGTGCCACACGACGGTGTCCCAACGTGACGCTGCCACCTATTTTTTAATTTTTTTTATACATGACAGGCAAATTACAATTACTCTTCACGGCTCGTTTGAAGGACCCCATATCATAAGATGGAGGGAATACGTGCGCTGGGAGCGAGTTCCATTTATCAACTGTGTGATAGAGGAAGGTGCTACTAAACCTTTTAGTTCGCGATGGAATATGACTAGTTGTAAAACGGTGACTACAGAGGCCAGCACGCTTCGGAGCAGGAAAGGGGACTTTAGTTTTTAATTTTTATTTTTACTTTACTTATGCATTGCAGCACCCTAACGCTTCCTCTTATGGCCCCTTGCCCGACATACATGTATGGCATGTAGTTCTAATTCATATCTATGAGTAGTACAGTACAATACAGCATCACCGCACAGGCGTCGTATCGCTCTTATGCTTACAATTTCCTAATACCGATATGTGCATATTTCCAAGAAAAATATCCCGTAATTCAAGTATGAAATATCACAGCGTTAATATTAATCTCATATATAAACGTTAACTTTTAATGGAAGTGAAATGTTTATGAGCGAGAATATTATAATGTAAGATAATTAAAATTAAAATGATATATGTTACAATATTTAGTTTATTGAATAATACATGATGATTAATTGAAATACCATATTAGTTAGTGAGAGCGGTGGCCCCGGCGTGGCAACAGACGCTGGTTGGGGTGTTTATATCTGTAATAATGAAATAGATTCACAATGCAAACGCCAACGTCCGTAAAAAATGTATTCAGTTGTCTGTGAAATTCTGGACTAAAAGATAATATTTACAATTTGAGATTACTAACGTAACAACTAATTAACCGGAACCCTGCAAATATTTAAAGAGGTCGTTGTACTGAATTTGAAGTTCCAAATACTATCGTATTTTAATAATATCGCATCGCTTTTTTATTATATTTGACGACCTCAGTGACCCATAGTGGGCGCTGAGGAGATCTCTGGTTTGATTTCCGTTCGGACCAATTTGGTAATTTAAGTTCTTAGGTTTTCGCGATTTTTACACATAGGAAATGAAACTATTTTTCCGGATTTAAATCGCGTATATTTGTTTTTTCAAACAAACCGACGTTTCTGATTTACGACGTTACGATTTCTCAGTTCCTGAGACCCGTGAAATGTAACATCCCCTTACAGGATGCAGGAGTTTACAAGCTTAACTGTGAGTGCGGTCTCTCTTAAATTGGACAAACAAAGCGAAGTATTTGTACCCGCGTCAAAGAACATATAGCTGATGTCAAACACCGTCGCGTAAACAAGTCTGCAGTCTGCGAGCACGTCATGGATAAACCTACACATTCAATGAAGTTTGACAAACCCCAGGTCCTTGCAAAAGAAGTCCGTTATCTACCCAGGATGCTGCGAGAGGCCATTGAAATTAAAAAACATCCTAATTTCAACAGGGAAGATGGTTTCTCCGTAACACCAGTTTGGGATCCAGTATTTCCTCTAATGAAAAATCCCAAACAGACATAAGGCTGCAATACTAATTAATATGTTTTAGTTTATTCTAATTTCTATTAATAATTAATAATAAATTAAACTTAATAAAAATTCATTCAATAAAATAATTTGTAAAACTTAATGTAGCGTAAATTGGAATGTTTTCTTTGTAAAATTAAAAATAAGGTATTTAATTAATAACTATTGTAACTATAGTGAAAAAATAGGGTGGTTTGCATTAATATTAGACATAACTGGTTGAAGACTGTACCACCTCAGTCAACCGTGACCATGGGACCTGTAAAGGGCCCGAAACGTTGGTTTGTTTGAAAAAAACAAATATACGCGATTTAAATCCGGAAAAATAGTTTCATTTCCTATTGGTAATTTAACTTTTGTAAATTGGTTCTGGTTTGAGTGTTCTGGGCACTACCCTCAATGGAATTCATTTTGATACCTATTTTATTTTCATTACGAAATAAACTC